GCCTACCCAGAGCACAGTTTGCTGTCCTCTGAAGATGCCCATGGCCACAGAGACTGGCGAAACGTTAGGAAGAACCACTTTCACAACACGGCCAAGAAGCCTGAAAAACCCACAACAACCATGACATGACTGTGTTTGAATCAAGGTAGATTGTTGTACATGGTAAAAAAATAAAAATAAAACATCCCCTGAAAATAAGCCCTAATGCGTTTTCTGGAGCAGAGATTAATATGAGACCCTTTCTGAGCTTCATGGGAATGAATGACTCTTTCCCTGCCCTCACTTGGAGACCAAGACCGAGATCATCCACATATTTCCAATCACCATGTATGGGTGTGAAAGCTGGGCAGTCAAAAAAAAGCTGGGAGGAAAATGGTTCGTTTGAAATGTGGTGCTGGAGGAGAGCTTTCTGGATACCCTCGACAGCCAGAAAGGTGAACAAGAGGGGTCCTAGATCAAATCAAGCCTGAATTTGCTCTGGATCTGGGAGTGCCCCGGGACAGTACAGCTCGCCCAACGCCACACAGGCTGGCCTTACTCACAGGAGGCACAGTGGGGAACCAAACTCCCAACCTCTGGGCCTGCAGCCAGATACCTACACCACTGAATTTAGTAAGTCGTTTACAATTAGTCCCTCGTCTTCTTTTTCCTCTCTTTCCCCTTTCTCACTCTCTTTTCTTTTTCTCTCCAAATCTTTTCTTTGACGACAAGTGTCGGTAGGTGGCAGTAACAGGGCTTTTGGCGGTGTCTCATTAAAGAAGGCTAAAAGTTCCCTTTTGCACCTCCAGATGTTTTCTCCTTCCGCTCACAGAACTATCTGCTAGCATGGCCAGTGCTAAAGGATTGTGGCGACCCTAGTCCTAATGAGCTGGCAGGCCCAAAGAATTTCCCCACCTATTTCAGGACTACTGCAGCTGAGGTGAGGGGAAAACTCTTTTTTTCCCCCTTGGACCACGGCTCCCAGAGTCCCCTAGCCAACAGGGCTACTACCATGGAATCTGGGAACTGTAGTCCCCAAAATACATAACACAAACACAGGACATCCCTCCGCTCTGGAGATGGCCAGCCTGGCCCTTGGCTCAGCTGGGTTTCAAAAAGACAAGGCACATTAAAGGGCTACAATGGGTTTAGGACGCCCTTCTTCCTCCTCCCAGCTGCAGCAGCACTTTCGGTGCTTAGAAAAGTTACTTTTCAGGCTCTACCGGCTGGCTGATTCTGGGAGGTGTGTTCCAACCCTGTAATTTTCTCAGACTCTGTTCTAATTGTTAATCGGGTTGCAATGAAAACAGCCCGGACTATCCGCTAGGTCGCAGTCTGCGGCTTGTCAAAAGGAAAGCGCCCATCCATCCCAGGAGGAGGGGAACCCGAGAAGGGCTTCCTCGGGAGCAAGAGACCCACAAGGTTCGGCGCGGCTTATTTGCCAGGGATCTCTGGATAAGAATCGGGCTGGAAGAAGGGAGGTTTGTTATAACCACGCTCTGGTCCTTTTAGCCCAAGGCGTTCGGTGTCGAAGCCTCCGGGGCAAATGGACGCACACACAACAGCTCCGCCGACTCCCCGGCAAGCCGCTTCCGACGACCCCTGGAACTTCGCCTCGGCGGGGAAGGGCCGGAGGGCCGCGCTTTGTGACGTCACCGGTCCAGGGGGCGGTGTCTCCGGCGGCAATCTATAAAAGGCGTCGCGCCGCCTCTTTTCTCGCACAGCGGAGGATTAGAGCAACGGCGCCGGGCGGGAGGTGCGGGGCTGGGGAGGTCGTGGGGCGGCGGCAGCAGCAGTAGGAGAAGCTGGCCGACGAGGCTATGGATTTATTGAGGAATATCGCTTATCAGCCGGGCACCACTGGAGCTGGACCTGGCGGTAGCAGCACCACCACCAGCACCAGCAGCAGTAGTAGCAGCAAGATGGGCGAGCAGGGGCTGGGCAAAGCCTGCAGCGGGGAGTCGAGGCGAAAGAAGGCGACGGCGGCGGAGGTGGTGGTGCTGTCGGAGCAGCATCACCATCATCATCCGCACTCGACCACCGAGATCTCGCGGATTATCACCGACCCCACCACGGGAAGGCGATACTGCCGCGGCAAAGTGCTGGGAAAGGTAAATACACGGAGGCGGCTGCAGCGGAGCTGTGCCCGGGATTCGTGCAACATCGATCTGCTCGGAGTGGTGGCTTGAAAACACGGAGCTGGTTGCAAGCTGGAGGGCGGTGCGATGGCAGCCCGCGGTTCCCCATTGTTCTGCCCGACCATCACCACTCGCCGCCCCAAATCTGTCTCCCTGATTCGTCGCCCTTTTTCCTTTCCTTTTCTTTCTTTTTTGGTTTTTTTGGCCATTTCTTGTCCATAAACGCGTTCTGACGCGCAGCTTCGCACCCTCGCCCCTGGCTCCACGCTGCCTCTAAAGCTTCTCCATCCGATCGCAGTTCTTTTCCATCTCATAATTTTTCCCCCTCTTGTGTTGTGAACCTGCCTCCTTTCTCTTGTCTACTCGTTTTTTTAATTTCATCATTTTATAATAATAATAATACATAGCCTTGTATTGGGAGGTTAGTTACATGCATTATGCCAGAAATTGAGCCGCAGGTCTCAGTTAAATATGAAACAGTCACAACTGCTCTTCCCACCCCACCCCCCCAAATATTTATCTCTCTTCTGCGGATGATGGCTTGACGTGAGACTCCAGCCAAAGTAGGTTGTTGGAAGGCGCCTGCATTCTTCAGGCACCTTGCTGGAAAGGGTGACTAACCCCACGAAACGGGAAAACTCCTACACAGCAAGCTGCTTCCATGTAGGGTGAGAGAAAGCAGTGTATATGATTATGGATGATGGATGGAGGTGTGTTGTTGGCATACCTCCCTGCCCCCCCACTGGCTGCGGTCACATACTGTGGGGGAGGGGGAGACCCCTCTCATTGCATGTAGTGCAGTGACTATCAAGAAAGAATAAGGGTCTGGACAGAAAAAACTGTCTCAGATTTTAAAAGGTGATTTGTTGCTTTGTAGTATCTGTGTAGCCAGATTTTCACTTAACTGGTGGAAACAGAGGCTTTGTGATTTTCTGTGGTATGTACTGGGGTGGTCAGTTGAGCTGTCTGGTATGCACTGTCAGTGGGTCTGAAGTGAAGACGGCATTTGGTTCTTTGTCTGCTGAGTGAAGCTGTCCCCATTTCTCTCCCAGCATTTTGAACTCATTATTACATTCTTGGGTGAGCTGTGATTTTTCCTTGCTGACTGGATCCTGAGAGAAGGAGGGGGTGGTAGGGCAGAGAAGAAATCTCCTGAGCTGTCAGGTCTCAAATGCTTTCTCTGCATTGTTCCCGTCAGGGTGGCTTTGCAAAGTGTTATGAGATGACTGATCTGACCACGAACAAAGTCTATGCTGCAAAGATCATTCCTCACAGCCGAGTCTCCAAACCTCATCAAAGAGAAAAGGTGTGTATCTGTGTGTTTCTGCTCGGGTGACGAACCTTTCAGGAATTTCTCTGGGTGCACAGAAAGCCCTTCCCTCTTCCTCCCCCAGTGGCTTGCTCATGTGTAAGCCCTGGCTTCCCACACTGTGCAGGAGCAGATGCCAATAATGCTTCTTGGCCTTTCCTTTCCCCCCGCCTTTTTTAAAAAAAATTCAGATTGATAAAGAGATCGAGTTGCACCGGATGCTCAATCACAGGCACATCGTACAGTTCTACCACTACTTTGAGGACAAAGAGAACATTTACATTCTCCTCGAATACTGCAGCCGAAGGGTGAGCATCAGTTGGGAGAAATCCAGTATTCCCTTTCACGGCACCGGCAGCTAATGTAAAATATTTAATTTGTAAAAGGTACCTTCCACCATTTCTCCGGGGAGTCCCTTTTTTCTTGCATTCACATCAGCTTTTAAAAATATATGCTAAATCTTGGGTGTAACTTCAGCCAAATGACCTTGTTTGGTTTCTCTCCTCTTCCCCCCCCCTTTCTTTTCCCATTTAGTCAATGGCTCACATCTTGAAAGCAAGGAAGGTGCTGACAGCCCCAGAAGTACGATACTACCTCAGGCAGATTGTGTCAGGACTTAAATACCTTCACGAGCAAGAAATCCTGCACAGAGATCTGAAGCTAGGTAAGTTGAGGTCTTCTCTGTTGCTTGTCTCCTTGTTGGGCATTGAAAGAGCAACACTTGTCTCATAGATCGTAGGCCCATGTGAAAACTCCGCTCATAGGGGATTAAGTCATAAGGTCAGCTTATCTTGAAATGGAATCCAGGAATATTTCAGTAAGAGCATTAAGTATTCCTTCATTAAGAGGTAAAAAAGGGAAGAAGAAAAAGCTAGCGATGTGTTGGTTTCCTGTAGGCACAAGTCAGCGCTTGCCTGCTTCGTCATGGCATTAACTTGGACTTAGTCGGATTTTCTCTGCTTGTTTCTGCAGGTAATTTTTTCATTAACGATTCCATGGAGCTGAAAGTGGGAGATTTTGGCTTGGCAGCCAAGCTCGAACCTTTAGAACACAGGAGAAGGTAAGAGGCTGAGGGGAAGGGCAGTGACTTGACCCTTGCTTTTTGCTGTTGCTTGGCTTCAAGGCCATTGGCAGGATCTGAATTCCTAGTTATACTTTGTGTGATAGGGATATTGCCCTTATAATGGTGACATCTTCCCTGGCAGCAGAGCAGCCTTGTTTATGGACTGCAGTGGTGGATGTGTGACTGTCCAGAATTTAATAGGCTACATTTCCCATAATGGAAAATGCATAACAAGTTGTGAAGGATGATGGGAACTGCAGTCCAGCAACAGCTGATGGATGGTATCATTTGCATCCATGACTTAATCAGTCAATTTGTGCCAGGTTTGGTCCTGTCCATGAATTGTTCCCGCTGTTTCCAGGCATGCACATGCACAACATATTTGGAGAAAGGTTTTGCAGATAACATGTCATCAGTGAGCTGGCGTAACCTTTTGCAATAATAGTTTATAGCAGATTTCTGCAATAATAGTAAACCTGCAGTCTAGGTGCCTGGCTTTTCTTTGAAGAGTTGTGATGCTCTCTCACACTATCTTGGTGTGGTTTGTGTATTGCAGTAGGAATGGAGTAGTGAGGAACTTTTCCAGTATGCTTATAAAAATTACAATATTTTGGCCAGACCACAACTAGAAAGCCTTTTATTTTACAAAAAGCAGATGTCAAATATAATTGAAAATGAGCTTTGTATTGAACTAGTGGAATTGTCTATTAACCATCTTATTTATGCATTTTATCTTATTCTTTCAGAACAATCTGTGGTACACCAAATTACCTTTCTCCAGAAGTTCTCAACAAACAAGGGCATGGCTGTGAATCGGACATATGGGCCTTGGGCTGTGTCATGTAAGTCTTTATTAAGAGCACTGGGATAGACTTCAAGCCCAATGTCAGAAAACATGAGAATTTTTTTCTGCTCTGTGCCTGAGGGGTGTGTGTAAAACACAGATTCACTTAGTACCTCTGCACATGTGATTTGCGTGAACCACAGATATTACTTATTTTGCAGGAGCAGTATTGTTTGAGGTGGGAGAGCTGATGTATGGTGTTGAATCCTACTGCTGTGAAAAGGGGAAATCATACCAGACTTAATTTCCAAATTTGTACAAGGAGACCTAAGAAGTCATTTTAGGCTGAATGAAGCGGCTGGTCCGTTCAGCCAATCCTGACATGCCTAGCCACTAATGTTTTTCCTAAGATCTCAGACAGAGATTTCATCCCTTGATCCCAAAAAATCTGAGGTCTCTTAGTTGAGGCCAGCACACAAAAGTCTCGGAGGAGCTATAGGCTCTTTTTCAATATATGTTTACTCTCTGCAGACATTCAAATTCAGTTAAGCTTTGGCATATACATTTGTTACCTTCTGGATAGCGAGTTGGATGCCTAAAGTTAATTCCACTTCCTCATCTCCACTTGAGTGGGAAACTCCCTGACTCAGTTACTGAATGGTAACCTGACACTTATGTAAATCCCATTGATTCAGTGGATCTGCTCCAGTGGAGATGAGCAGATTGGTTTCTGTGCAGTTGTGTGGGTCTGAGACCATACACTATCCCGATTTCCTATTTTGCTGCAACTTGTAAATCCAGCTAATCTTTTGCCAGAAGGAGGAGGAGAACTCTGTAGGCTGCATGCTGCTCATGAAGGCTCAAATAATGAAGGACCTCTCTTGTGTTTCTGACAGGTATACAATGCTTCTGGGCAGGCCTCCGTTTGAAACCACTAATCTGAAGGAGACCTACAGGTGTATAAGGGAAGCAAAATACTCCTTGCCGTCATCTTTGCTGCCTCCTGCAAAACACTTGATCGCAAGCATGTTGTCGAAAAACCCCGAAGACCGCCCCAGCTTAGATGACATTGTTCGGCATGACTTCTTCTTACCGGTTGGTAGCATTTTGGCCAATCCCTCTCTCTGTGTGTGTGTGTGTGCGTTTGTGTGTGTCTTTGCTTTAAATGCCTCCTCCAGCCCACACTGACAGCCGGTTTGTCTACTTCTTGTTTCCTCAGGGGTTCACGCCAGACAGGCTTCCAGCCAGTTGCTGTCATACAGTTCCTGACTTCAACTTGTCAAGCCCTGCAAAGAATTTCTTCAAAAAGGCAGCTGCAGCTCTCTTTGGGGGAAAGAAGGAAAAAGCAAGATACATTGACAGTAGGTGTCTCTTTATGTCAGCCCGGAGACTGTTCCCCACTGGCTTTTACTTTGCTATGTATTTATAGCGAGATCTTAGGAAGCATCTGTGGCTTTCCTCCCAGCTATATGCCTGTAGCAAACACTGTAATTCCTGCACTGCTGCTAGGTATGGGTGGTGCAGAAAGAGCAAGGCTTTTTAATGTAAAGCTGTTCACAAACATCACTGTCAATCTACTGTGCCAGCTTATTATTGGTTGGTGTGCTATAGCAGGGGCCCCCAACCCCCATTCTGCCGTCTGGGCCATGACCTTGGCAGGACAAGGCTGCGGAGGCAGATTTCCCACCCACCCATGCATGCACACGCCCCATGCACGCTCCATGACCTTGGCAGGACCAGGCTGCGGAGGCAGATTTCCTGCCCCCCCCCATGCATGCACACTCCCCATGCACGCCGACCCACCCACACGGCCTGCCCACCTGCATGCATGGGTGCCGTGTCCTGCCCATGTGCATGAGTGCACCTCACCCACCTGTGAGCGTGCCCCACCCATCCGTGCATGTGTGTGAGCGTGCCCTGCACACCTGCGCACAAGGGGGGTGCCCCCCCGCACATGAACCCTGCCCCCCCAACTGGTCTGTGGTTTAGAAAAGGTTGGGGACCACTGTTTTATAGTTCCTTTATGATCAACTCATTATGAATAACGTCTTCATATACTTGTATGTTCTGATGTGAGAACATGTCAATAGAGAGGACTGAATAGTGAAAGATTGTGGTGCTGGTTTATTTTTTTTTTAATTAGTGCAACTCTTGGGAGTTCCCCAGCCAGTAGGGATGGGACTTTTGGATTTGTTGGACTACATATTCCACAATTCCCCATGCTGGGAGTTCTGCCTGATTTACTCCCAACTTACAAACACCTTCATGTGCTGACCTGGGAGAAGAGGCCTCAGATGGAAGGCTTTGAGCCTTCACTGGGACTAGCTGTGCACAAGAGTCTGTTCCTGACCAGGTGGTAGCCGGGAGATTTCTTTTCTGAATTGGAAACTAGGCAGAAATAGGCCTAGCTCAGCCTCAGAGCCTTTCTGTTGAGGCTTTTTCTTCCCATTGATTTAGGTAAACATAAGGTGGCTGTAAGTTAGGCTGTTAGATAAAGCTCCTAAAATTTGGAATTATGGGATATGTAGTTCAAAAGCATAGCTAATGGCTATGTTCGTAGTCTAGAAAGGTGGCTGGCAGCAGTGATAGCGATGGAGAAGAGAGATTCCACGTTCCATTGGAATTCACTGCAGGATGTCTCAAGTTACCACACTTGAGAGAAATGTACTTTCAGAAACAGAAATCTTACCTTTTCTGTAACTGCTTTTTAATCTTCTTCTCCAGATCGCTTTGCAAAAGAAGATGAAGAAATATATAAGCTGAGACATGACTTGAAGAAGACTTCAATCACCCAGCCTCCCCTGAAACACAGGCTGGAGGAGGTAAGCATGTAAAGGCTACATGTTTTCCGAATGGGATGATTTCTACTCTTGAGTAGAACTTGAAACTGAGGGCCCAGAAAATCCTCCTGTGCGAAGCACTTTGGTATAACTTTTTAGGTACAGTGAGTGTAGCCTTTGACATCTATATGTGGGATTTCTGTGTTTTTAAAGTGTGCGGCTTGTCTGCTGCCTTTTAGCACTTAAATCGCTCTCTGGGCAGTTTATAATGTAATTATGCAAGCTACACATTGCCCTCCCCCCCCCCACAAGCTGGGTACTTTTATTGACTCCTTGACTCATCAACAGAGATCAAGCATATGTCTAGTGCATAATACTCTGAGAAGCTGCTAAGGCCTTCCTGCTCATTCTTAGAATGGTATTGGTATAGAGTAAACCTGGGATTGAAAACTTCTGTGTATTTAGGCTGTATTTGCAATCCTCCAAATAACAGCAGTTGTTTGTGGGTGCTGGATACTGACTGTGGCACTATGCAGAATAACATGTGTATAGTGGCAACATTGACTGTTGGGATTAAGATGAAAACTTCTCCACCATTTGTGAGGCTTAAATGCCTTTGTGTGTGGTGATGAGGACCTTACATGTTTGGGGGAACAAAGATATGCACCCCACCTTCTGTAAAAATTGCCATTTCTGCTAGTGAGCCATCACCACCATTTTCAAGAATAGAGCTGTAGCATTCATTTTGTGGGTTGTGTAAAGCTACTGTGGCTTGTGCTTTGATGGCAACATTCCCTTTCTTTCAGGAAATCCAGCCTCCTAGCTCCACTGTAGCCAAACCTGGTGTATTGACAGAGACCAGACAGATCGATGCCATTCGCATGATTGTTCGGGGGACACTGGGAAGCTGTAGTAGCAGCAGTGAATGTAAGTATGACCTGCAGTCTCTACTGTTTCAAGTGGTGTGGGGCAATCTATATTTTTTAACTTAATAAAAAACAGAAGCCAAACTTTTACTGCTACTGCTTCAACATTGATGAGGGGTGTATTTGTGGTAAAATCTTAAAAATACAGTGGGGCGAAAAGTCATGTGACAATTTTCAGAGTTACAAAAGAATTCTAGATCTAGTACTATAGCAGTGAAGTTACTTTTTAAGGTGGCGTAATCTGGGGTGATCGACCAGTGGAATTAAGTTGAGACTTTTTAAGGTGGCGTAATCTGGGGTGATAGACCAATGGAATTAAGTTGAGGTAGACTAGTCAAATCTCTTGCAGCACAGACCATGAACATCCCCCCACTTTCTTTTCACAGGTCTTGAAGATAGTACAATGGGAAGTGTGGCAGATACAGTTGCAAGAGTGTTGCGTGGATGTTTGGAGAACATGCCAGCATCTGATCATATTCCCAAAGAACAGTTGGCAGCCTCTTTCCAGTGGGTCACAAAATGGGTGGACTACTCCAATAAATATGGCTTTGGATATCAGCTGTCGGACCACACTGTGGGTGTTCTCTTCAACAATGGTGCACACATGAGCCTTCTTCCAGACAAAAAGTAAGTAGCTTGCCCAGGGTAGAAGCAAGTCACCGTGTGATGTTTTCCCTTTTCTTTGTCTCCTTAAACCCTTTTGGTCTCTGTTTTCCAGAACAGTCCATTACTATGCAGAGCTGGGTCAGTGTTCGGTTTTCTCTGCTACCGATGCTCCTGAACAATTTATTAACCAAGTGACTGTTCTGAAGTACTTCTCTCACTACATGGAGGAGAACCTCATGGATGTAAGTTGTGTGGGTGAAAGGCTTGGAAAACCTATTTATCAAGGTTGTTCAGGTGAACTTTGTTCTGATTAAGACATGCTTTTTCTTTCTTTAGGGAGGGGATCTCCCCAGTGTCACCGATGTGCGCAGACCGAGGCTTTACCTCTTGCAGTGGTTAAAGTCAGACAAGGCATTAATGATGCTCTTCAATGATGGCACATTTCAGGTAGGCTCGGTTATTTTCCAAAGTAACACACACACCGATGTTTGGGTAGGGGATCTTCAGATATGTACTAAGCTGCATAGGGCAATAATCAGCTAAAGAAGTTACTGTAACAGAGTCTTCAGTAACTAATGTCATTGGTGTTAAAAGATAATTCAAGGACTATGTTGGTTGGGAATTTCAGGACTTGAAGAATTTGGTGCTCTCTCTCTCTTTCATTCACTGACACAAACATGTAGGAGGGAAGTGGGGTATCATTCTAGGATGCAAGAAGCCTTGAGTTGCTGGTTCAATAGATTGGACAAAAATGCAGTTTGCTCAAACACAAGATCCTTTCTACCTGTAGGAAAATTTGCTGCCCAAAATTAGATTATGTTCCCAATGTTTGGGGGTGACTTTGAAAAGAAAACTGAAGCTAATGTAGATGCACCTTGTTAAAATATACACTCACTGTTTTTTGTAACTGAAGCAGTCTCGCCTAAATGCAAAAGAATATGACTGTAAAAGAACAGTGGAAGAAAGGTCTAACCTCTGAGATGAGGTATAATGAATGAGAGAAAGGGGGAATCTTAGCATGGGCTTCCTACTGGAGTTGGATTAGCCAGTCACTGTGTGCACTAGGATTCAATAAATGCCATTGGATATGTCAGCAGAAGTTTCCACAGAGCTCCAATATGACAGAAGACTTAAAATCCTTTTTATTATTTGCCTTCTGTGATGTTTCCACATTTCTAAAATATGGACAGTAATATCTTCCTGTAATGGAAGGTTTTGGATATAAACATCTTGTATGTGGAAGTAAATCTTACTTTCTTGACTTGATGATCCTTCCAAAAAGTGTATTTAGGGGGTTTATATTTGAATGTACAGAGCCAGACAGTTAATCCCTTCCCTTTTAGCAGATACCATTCTGCAATGGATGACTAACACCTTTTGCCTGTGCTAGGTTGTATAATTTATTAATTACAAGCCATTTTCTGTGTGTGTCTCTCTCTACCTAGTCAGGAAATATGTGTATACAATAGGAAGCAGGAATGAAAATGTGCCAGTAAGAGAACCATTTAATTTGCCCTGCCCTGTACCCAGCAAAGCTGAGGCATGCAGATGACAAGTTGCTAAACACTTGTCAAATCCCTACAGATATTTATTATTTTATTAATTATCTGTGCTGCCTTTCTCCCAATCTCGGTACCTGTGGTGGCTCAAAAAATTATTAAAAGACATGCACAATCAATTATTGGGTTAAGACTATAAAACATACGGAAGTATTAAAATAGTTAGTTAAAATTATTTTAAAACACCAGTGTGGTTTTATATGTTGTAAACTGCCCAGAATGGCTTTGCTTTAGGCCAGATGGGCAGTATAAAAGTTGAATGAATTAATGAATGTTAAAACAGACATAGAATAATATATGGCATTCAAATTCATTGTGACCCAGTTAGCTGTTAAAAGCCTGCCTAAAAAGTCAGATCGTCTTGTCATCTGGGAGAGGGCATTTCACAACCTGGGAGAAGCCTCAGAGAAGGTTTTATTTATTGGACTTATTTATTGGTTCTTTCATGCATCCCCACTGGGATGGTGGTGGGACTGAGAGAATGATCCATGAAGTTCTTAAGGGCTGAGAAGACGTGTGTGTGAAAAGGGTGTGGGCTTGAGCAGTTAAAATGAAATGCACTAAGCCTCACTTGTTAATTCCTTGGCAGGTGAATTTCTACCACGATCACACAAAAATCATCATTTGCAACCAAAATGAGGAATATCTGCTTACCTACATCAATGAAGACAGGCTATCGACAACATTTCGCCTCACGACACTTCTGATGTCCGGCTGTTCATTGGAGCTAAAGCACCGAATGGAATATGCATTGAATATGCTTTTGCAAAGATGCAATTAAATTAAAGGATTCTTCTGAAACCAAAAGGACCTCTCACTCACATATACTGACATCTACAGTGGATGTAGTTGGGGGAAAAATAGTATGTTGATGGATGAGTAAGGACTGGTACGAACCTATATCTCATCTTGTGTGCTGGGCTGGGACCAGACATGAAGCCTACGGCCTTTGGATTAATGGTTGGACCAGGAATTCTTGGAGTCTAGCTTTCTTTGGCTTCCTGCTTGTTGGAAGGGATGAATTGGACTTAAAGCTGAGCAACAGGCAGTTCTAATGGAGGACTCAAACTGTGAATAACACTTGGATTTGGGAGGGAGGGCGATCTCATTGTGGAATAACTGTACGGGGGCAGCTTGTTGTGGCTGCTTAACTGTGAACTATGGCCATACCGTTTTGTTTTTGTTTCGTTATTTCTTCCAAGAACTGATCACACTTATGGCTGGCAAAGTGCATTCCTTGTTAATAATTTTTTTTAATTTATTACAGCCTAAAGTGAAGTATTTATTACACACATTTTTTTGTAACTGTGATTTTTAAATATACATTTGTTGGCAATAAAGCGTTGGGAGGGTAGAATCTGAAGCGATGGTTTTGGTATGCTTTTTCCGGCTGCATCTGGCTTGCAATTAGAATGACATCCAGAGCTCAGAGGAAGAGGTGTGAGGTTACTCCTTAGTTCCAGAAACAAAATGGCCGCTCCTTTATTCTGGGGTGGGGTGAACAGACTTCTGCATATGTACATATATATTGCAGTTACAACCTCAGGATCTTCTGCCTGGAAGAAGCTACCTTCTCTTTGGCCTAAGAAACAATTTTGCACAGTTCTATCATAGTGGATATATCTTTTTATCTGCTTAAAAACTAAGAAACAATTTTGCACAGTTCTATCATGGATATATCTTTTTATCTGCTTAAAAGTGATAGTGTTCACCAGGAATCCTTGTTGGTTACTTAGGATGAGATCCTGTACTCATTTTCTTGTAAGAAGGTCAGTTTGGAGTCGGGAGCATATTTGTGAGCCAAGACACAGCATTACCTTGCAAGTTCTTTTAACTCCACCTCATTGTTCTTTTACAAACCTTACCTTTTACATAGTAGGGTTTCTTGTGAGGAAAGCATGTTTTTGTTTCTAGAGAATCTGTAGGTTTGTGTTCACATTCAGTCTCCTTGGATCTATGGAATACCCAAAACTATTCTCTTATATAGATTCAGCAGCAATAAATCTGTAATAGGGAGTAAACTGGATGTTAACAGGAGACCAATTCTTAGTTTTTCGTTAGGGGCAGCTCACACAACAGCATTCCTCCCACCACTCATGCACCTAGTCATAAATAGAGAATGGATGTTGAAAACATATGAAACTCTGCATTGCACAGTAACCTTTAGGTCCTTGAGGGAACGCTTAAGTATACAGTGGTGCCTCGCATAGCGACGTTAATCCGTTCCGGATTAACCCTCGTTATGTGAAAACATCGCTGTATGGAACGGGGAAAGCCATTGGAATAGGCTCCAAAACTCACCGTTCAGTGAAGTTTGTCCATAGCCGGGAGCCATTTCGCGCCCCCGGTAAGCGAGGGGAGGGCGCAAAAACGCTGCGCGTGGCCATTTCGGGGCTTCCGGTGGCCATTTTGGAGCCGCCGAACAGCTGATCCGCGGCATCGCTTTGCGAAGATTGGTAAGTGAAACGCTTACCGATCATCGCAAAGCGATTTTCGGCCATAGGGGCCATCGGTATGCGATCGCTGAAACCTCGCTATGCGGATTCGTCGTTCTACGGTGCGCTCGTTAAGCGAGGCACCACTGTAGTTGCCTTAGAGCAGTGGTTCGCAACCTTGGGTTTCCAGCTGTTCTTGGACTGAAACTCCCAGAAGCCTGCACTACTAGCTGTGCTGTCTAGGATTTCTGGTAGTCCAAAAACATCTGGGAACCCAAGGTGGGGAACCACTGCCTTAGAGCAAGGTATGACCTGCACAGGATACAGTATAGCTGGGCTGTTTTCATGCGTAGGACAGGATGTTTGCTAGGTTTTATAGGCGAAAGAAAGCTGCCAGCTTCCTGCATTTATAGCTTGAAGGATTCGCCTCTTTCTTCAGGTGGCTTATGCCAAGATGATCAAGAAGCAATGCATTTTACTATTTAAGAGGCCAACTCTTTAGCTGGCATGGCACATAGCTTATATTATAAAAACCTAAATGCCATCAGAAAGCAAATGAAATAAATTACAGCATTTCAATCCTTGTTCCTATTGGAACATATTCTGATGCTCCAGGTGGTTAAGATTAGAAAAGGCTTCTTTTGCTTTGTTTTAATAGTGGGTCTTTTTCTTCTCCAGATCAGAGAAATATTCAGCTTGATGTTGTCATTCTACAAGCAGCTACATATTACAGATACCAACTACATCATGAAAAGCTAAAATTACATTCGTGCTTCCTGGAGAATTTTCTGTCTGAACAATCAGACTTGCAAACAAAGCCTGTGTTTGCCTCCTGAAGGCCAATCACAAAACAGCAAGCTATTCTGTAAATTGCAGGAACATGTAAAAATTCTGTGTGCTTTTTAGTAGGTGCCACTTAGACTCTTGCTTCACTAGAATAAAATGAAGAGACTTGGAATGGCTGGGGTGCTGGTGAACCTACCACTGCCTTTTCTTGTCTTTTGTTTAGTTATGCACCTCACACTTGGTTCAAGGTAGTCCCATGCCATTTTACTTCATTATCATTAGCGCTCACTCTCTCGCTCACTCACATATTTTCTCTCTCTGTGTGTGCTTTTTATTGCTAGGAAGGCCTTCCACTTCCTAGAGCAGAGTATTATATGAGAGATCACTGCAGTGTATCAAGATCTGCATGTCAAGTGGTAGCCAGAAGTTCTTGGAAGGAGGTGTTGTGTTTGAATACTATCAAAATGGGGGCATATGTGGGAAATGGTCTTTTTATGGACTGTGACTCCAGAATCGCATGGCAAACATGGTTATACATTAGCTGTGAGATTCTAGGAGCTATGGCGGTGTGTGTGTGGGGAAACAGGGAATCAAAAGAGTGTTTCCTATCTGTGAAGTCAGTTTAGGTAGAATACGGTGGCAAATCTTGAGGCTTTATTATAAACAAAGAGACAGTGCAGCAATTTTCCACAGCTCAAGCAGCTTAAAACCTAGGACATTCCTTCTCTCACCCTATTACTGCGGTGTTGGCATAAAATCTCCCTTCACTGATAAAATATACTATTTGGCACTCTTGGTTTGCGGTTGCTGCAGGAGACATAGAAAAAACTGCAGTTTTCCTGCAATCCTAGCTGTGTCATGGTGATCTGTTTCATCTTTTTGTAGCCTTCTGCTCTTCGGCAGATGTGGATATAGATGGCGATATGACTGGATAAAAAACAAAAAGCTAATTTGGACAGTGTTATGCAAACAACATTATTTAAACCTGGAAAAATTAAACATCTACTGCAAGATCTGTACAGGGTTTGGGAATGTTAGCTTTTTGGATCTACAGCTCCCAGAATACCCCAGTTGAAAACCTAACATTTCAAAGTGCTGCTTCTATTCCCTCGGAACAGGGTGGGATTAAAATCTTTGGAGGTCCTAAGCACTGAAAAGATTATGGTGTCCCCTGTGAAGATAACACCTGGCAGGTCCCACAGGTTGAAAACATGTGCACATTTTATGCATGAAAATATGGTAATTTAATTGTATAGCATGTGACAAAAAAGAACCACATACTATTGTATACAAAATCATACATACAATCAAATTACCAGTTTCCAATCAAATTTTGCGCTTTCACACTTTTATTAATGTAGACAGATTTTCTCAGAATCTGTAAAATGAAAGTTCAAATAAGAGCTTAAAACCCCTTTTGGGGGCATTTTTAACAGTGGCTATTATTTCCTTGGCTTGCACATACTGTATAGTGCATAGATCAGCAGCTCTTTTTATTTTTATCCCCACCCAACCTCCCAAAATAAACATTTTTTTAAAAAAAGCCAGACACCAAGCAATGATGATTGATCATTTCACTCAAAATGTAAGTTTTCATGCTAGGTGAGTCTTTATGCTTTTCAATTATTCCTGGTTCATACTTAATTGCTATAGGTAGGGAGGTGGTTTTCTTAGGACTCTTGAGGGAAGGAGGGAGAGCTGAGGGATTTGAATGGATGGATGGATGGGGTTTGTTAAGGATGGTGCACCATTTGCACCATGGCCCATGGTAAATCGGGCACTGAAAAAATCTCTGTGGTTCCCCCTTCCTTTGTTGATGCCCTAAGTGCATGGTTATTTTGCTTAATGGCTGATCCGGGGCTGCTTAAGAATGCAGAATTTTCCCAAATTATGAGGGAACAGTCAGACTATTGTTTTATTGCTTCCCATCATTTCGTTTAGTCGTTTAGTCGTGTCCGACTCTTCGTGACCCCATGAACCAGAGCATGCCAGGCCCTCCTGTCTTCCACTGCCTCCCGGAGTTGTGTCAAATTCATGTTGGTTGCTTCACAGACACTGTCCAGCCATCTCATCCTCGGTCGTCCCCTTCTCCTCTTGCCATCACACTTTCCTAACATCAAGGTTTTTTCCAAGGAGTCTTTTCTTCTCATGAGATGGCCAAAGTACTGGAGCCTCAGCTTCAGGATCTGTCCTTCCAGTGAGCACTCGGGGTTGATTTCCTTTAGAACTGATAGATTTGTTCTCCTTGCCGTCCAGGGGACTCTCAAGAGCCTCCTCCAGCACCACAATTCAAAGGCATCAATTGCTTCCCATACCTGCAAATAAAAGCAAAAAATGGCACTGGGAAAATGGCAACTTTGCACTGGGAAAATGGCAACTGGAGAGTCCATGTGGTATGTTTGTGCATGTGTGGTTTCAAGTGGGGGAAGAAGGTGGAGCTCTCAGAAACCATCATGCCAGTAAGGCCATTCCATCTCTCAGAAACTCCCAGCCAACATGGCTGAGCTGGCTAGAGTTGTAGTTCAAATAAGAGTAACCTTTCCAAGCTCTGGGTGGAACTGAATATGGATGGCAGAGAACTGAGAGGGACTGGGAAGAAAGCATGCCCCCTGATCTGGGAAGGGCAGAGGGGACTTTGAAGGAAATTCCAGTTTAATGTCCTGTGTTCTATTGCAGAAACGCACAGCGAGAGGCTGTGAATCTGGGCATACAACTGGACACCCAAGGGGAACTTGTTAAAGCTGGCAAAGGGAGGATGCTTAGGCAGTGGCCCTTTCCTGCCACAATTCTACAATATGACAATCACCAGTAAATGCTATGATTGACGCTACTACTGCTGCTGCTGTTGGGTTTAATAATGAGGAAGCAGATAAGAAAGTGGAGCTGCTGCAGGAAGACCTGGAAGGAACTGGGAGCTGGAGATGGGCTACATGTGGAAGGAAAATGGGAGATTATGACAGATGATAAGGAAGAATAGCAACAGAGGCAAGTGGAGTGGAGAGGGGGGAAAACATAAAACATGTTATCTGTATACAGCCTCTGGATCATCACATTCCATCTGAAATGGGAAGGATGAGTCATGATACCAGGGCCAATATCTGTGCCTTACTTGAGGAAAGGGGAGCTACAAAGTTCCTTTTTA